TTTCTCTCTTCTATACACAATGTCTTGTAGCACCAAGCTATTGCTTCCTGTCGTTAACCATCTCTTACCATAAATTAAAAGACAGGCCTAGGAGGTGTACACACTCCAGCACACGCATGCTTTTTAGGTGTCAGTCCCTGGGTTAGGCGTTTTCAACTCCCATGTTGCTTTAATGTATCTTGTGCCTTGGAATATTCTGATCAGGACAGAACCGGGGAGCTTTCATCATACTTGACGTAAAAAGCAGCCTTGAGTTATTTGTATGGGATGGCGACAGTGGTGAGTACCTTGAACTTCTCAGAGAGCCAACCAAACCCTCTCAGTAGAACATTCAGACCCGTCTTTATTTCAAAATCAAAATGTCTGGGGGGGTTTTCCCCTCCAGCTTCACCCAACCTCAGCTTTGTGGCAAACGGAGGAGCAATTTTGCATCACATAGATCAAAACAAATGTAATCAACAGTGTAGCTCTTACCTTAACTAAATCTGGATGGGCTGAAGGAATGTTCTTGTTGGTGGCCTTCCTGCAGAAAAATACCCAGACCTGTTCCTCCTTTACCCTTCCTTCACACTTACATTTCACCCCTTTAAAACAACCATTCCCCTACAGTGCAACTAGAGTGCAGAACAGCTAAAGATTTGTGTATTTGTTTAGAGGGATCTAAAATCTGTCTTACTTTTCACTAATTGTTCTGTTTGCAATAGTAAAACAATGAGCTAACACCAGATGTATATCCGATGGAGGCCTTGTGTGGCATGAAATCAGTGAAACACATACTGTACCTCACAGATAGGCACAAGTATCCAAATAACGATTGCTATTTCTCCTGTAACTTAAACATGTTACATGCTAAAAATTGTTTACTTCACCTATATTATAGGTGTGTTGGAGTTGCTGCCAGAGTTAGACTGCATTGAAATTTACATTTGTGAGACGAAATTTGTTCTACGATTTTATTAAATTTATAGTCTCCAAATTTGAGAGTTCTTTAGGGGGCAATAAACTTGCTTTTAAATCTTATTTTAAGAAATGCTTTAATGTATTTTTCAACAGAGGGGAAAATAATTTTCATAGGAATCTGATAGGGTCCCTGAAATCAAATTATGAAAAATGACATCATCAGAGAGACTTTATATGCAAGTATTTCCATCAAGCTTGATGTTCCATCAGAGATTTAAAACTTTTACCTTCTCCTGGCAGTTAAACCATTTCCAATGATAACTAAACTACAGACTAAATGTGGAAAGTTACCTGGACATGAGTAAGTCCAGGGTCTTCAGGGCAAGTAGTATATTTGTCTTTATGAATTCAGGAAAACAAATATTTGCGTACACATACATGAGCTATTGTCTAATGCAATCCTTGGCTGTATGAACAGCTGCATAGCACGGGTGAGCACAGAAGTGATATTTCTGTATGGTACTGATGAGCGCTCTCCTGGACTATTGTGTCCAGTTTTGATCACACTTCAAAGAGTGTTTTGAACAATTGGAGGGAGCTCAGAAAAGAGGTACATGAATGATTAAAGGTCTGGAAAACCTGCCTTAAAGTAAATAGACTGAAGTGCCTATCAAGGAGGAGGTAAGAGGTGACTGGATCAGCCAAGAACACTATCCTTACAGAGTGCTCCCATTTGGCCTGTTGACACAGACACACACACACAGACACACCCAGTGTTCATGAAGGTGCTCTCAGTGATGGCATCCTACCTGAGACAGCTGGGAGTCAGTCAGTCTTTCCCTTCCTGGATGACTGGCTCCTTTGAATTTCATAAGATAGACCTGTACACCGCAATAAACAAAGCTCTGCACTTGTTCAAGGGACTGAGGCTAACGCATCTTGAACTCCAGTTACTTCTTTTAACGTGGGCAAAACAATGTATTTTTCCCTAATCTTGTTCTCATAAACAGCTTAACAAGTTTAACTGAAACTTAAAAAATCAGCCTGAAACAGATACCTGCCCTAGGTACACCTCTACCCCGATATAACGCTGTCCTCGGGAGCAAAAAATCGTACCGCATTATATCGAACTTGCCTTGATCTGCCGGAGTGTGCAGCCCCGCCCCGCCGGAGCACTGCTGTACCGCATTATATCCAAATTCGTATTATATCAGGGTAGAGGTATAATTTCAATCCCAGCAATTAGTTTGACAAAGTGATAACCAACTAAAATAGGGTCTTACCCCACACATAGTAACCTTTGCTATATGTATTGCTACTCCCTCTGCCTATAATCAAATGAAACAGGAAACTGATCAGCCACTGAGGGCTTTTCTACAGCAAGAAGTTTACCAGGAGCCTAATTATACTGGTATAACTTCCCATATGGTCACTCTTAGGCCTTGTCTACACTTGCAAGTTAGAGTGCATTAAGTCAGCCCCGGGCACCCTAAGTCCTGAGGTGTCCACACTGGCAAGGCACGTAGAGCTCCCGGACTCCGTGGCTGGAGCGCCCCTGGTAATCCACATCCATGAGAGGCATAACGCTTGGTGCACCCTGGCTAGAGCACCGTGGTGCCAATGTGGATGCCCTAGTCTATTAATGTGCTCTGATCGGCCTCCAGAAGTGTCCCACAATGCCTGTTCTAGCCACTCTGGTCATCACTTTGAACTCTACTGCCCGGCCCTCAGGTGACCAACCGTCAGACCCACCCTTTAAATTCTCTGGGAATTTTGAAATTCCCCTTCCTGTTTGCTCAGCCAGGCGTGGAGTGCTCTCAGCGCATCTTTCCAAGTGACCATTCCTCCACGCGCCTGGTGATCCCCAGTATGGCGCAGTGGCGAGGTGCTGGACCTCATCAGTGTTTGGGGGAGGAAGCTGTCCAGTCCCAGCTGCGCTCCAGCCGTAGGAATTACGATATCTTCAGGCAGATATCAAGGGCCATGATGGAAAGGGGCCAGGACCGGGATGCACAGCAGTGCAGGGTTAAAGTGAAGGAGCTGCGGAATGCCTACCGCAAAGCACGGGAGGCAAACCGCCGCTCCGGTTTCTATAAAGAGCTGGATACAATACTTGGGGGCGACCCCACCTCCACTCCGAAGAGCACCATGGACACTTCAGAGGCAGTGGCAGCCCAGAGTGCAAGGCAGAAGGAGGAAAGTGGGAGTGAGGGTGCGGAGGAGGAGGGGGGCCCAGAGCCAGAGGACAGCTCGGCATCCCTAGACGCATGTAGCCAGGAGCTGTTTTCAAGCCAGGAGGAAGGTAGCCAGTCGCAGCGGACGGTGCTTGGGGAAGAACAAACAGCAGAGGAGGTGCCCGGTAAGTGGCTTTTATTTTGGACAGGTAGTTGTTTAGTGCGGGCTGTTGGAGCGAGGAAGATTGCAGAAAGAAAGGTTAGGGCTGCATTCATGCCTAGATGCGGAATAGGGCGTTGATGTGCTCTCTCCCATCGCGGTAATCGGCTTCAGTGATCTCATCGAAGGTCTCATCCAGAAGCTGGGCAATGCACTTGCATAGGTTCCTTGGCAGAGCCACTGTGCTCCTTGTCCCAGTCAGGCTAACATGTCCGCCCCACTGTGCCGTGAGGGGTGGGGGGACCATTGCTGCACACAGGCAAGCGGCATATGGGCCAGGGCGGAAGCTGCATTGTAGTAGAAGACCCTCCCTTGCTTCCCAGGTCACCCTCAGCTGCAAGATATCTTCCAGGACCAACTCATCCTGTGGAAAATGTGGGGACAGTGTTCAGAATAGGGGCCCCCTGCAGCTGTTGCTCTTCCCAAGGCACAGAACCCCAGAGGTCAGTACGGCCCTGAAACAATCAGTCCTCCTTGCCCCTGTGTTTACTCACCATTTTGGGGCTCCTGTGGGTTATGTGCGCTCGCTTTGGGACGGGCAATTTCTGCTATTGTGTAGACTGTGCTTGCCCTTAAGTACAGCCAAATCATTGCTCTGTCTAGTGTGAACAATGCTGCCTCTGTTAAATGTTGCATTTTGGCTTTACAGATGCAACCTTGAAATCCCAGCCGTCCTTGTTATCAACGGCCAAAAGGCTGCAAAGAATCAGGAAGCGTCCGCGAAGAACCAAAGAGGACCTCCTGCATGAAGTCATACAGCAGTCCCTTACTGAAAATCAAAAGGTACAGGAGTGGCGGGAGACTGAAAGGAGGCTCCGCCAGCAGAATGCGGATCGCCGGCACCAAAGCACGGAGCAGCTCATAAGCATTATGGAGCGCCAAGCGGATCCGATACAGGCGCTCATAGCACTGCAGATGGAGCAGATACCCTCTGCAGCCCTTGTCCAAAAACTTTCCCTTGTGCCCCCTGTCACTGCCAACCCACTTCCCCCAACATCCAGTTTCATACTGCCGTCAGCTGCCTCCAACACCTGTAGCTTCACCACCCAGCCCTGAAAACTACGACCTTTACCCACTGCACTCAACCCCCATCACCATGCATTTTAGCCAGCCTAAAGTGCAGCACTCGTGCGGCACTCCAGCCAGGAAGGCTGAATATGATAACAGGACATACGCAAATCTGTGATTGTCCCGTTCCACACCCCGCACCCTTCCCTCCTCCCACACAGCACAGATATGTTATGTCCTTTCTGTTTCCCCAGCAGTTGTTTCTTTTCAATAAATGAATTTTTTGGCTTTGAAAAAATTCTTTATTGCATTAAGTAAAAGATACCGTAGCAAGTCAGTGCATCATACGTAGCAAACGCAGATTCTTAGTAGCACTGGAATGACTGTACTTCACTCCCGTGCAGGGCACCAAACATTACTGGTGGCTTTCAGCGTCCAATTGCTCCCTCAAGGCATCCCTAATCCTTACAGCCTTGCGCTGGGCCTCTCTAATAGCCCTGGTCTCTGGCTATTCAAATTCAGTCTCCAAGTTTTGAACCTCTGTGGTCCAGGCCTGAGTGAAGCGTTCACCCTTCCCTTCACAAATGTTATGGAGGGTACAGCACGCGGCTATAACCATAGGGATATTGTCATCGGCCAGGTCCAGCTTCCCATACAGACAGCGCCAGCAGCCCTTTAAACGGCCAAAAGCACATTCAACTGTCATTCTGCACCAACTCACCTGTTGTTGAACCGCTCCTTGCTGCTGTCAAGGCTCCCTGTGTAGGGTTTCATGAGCCACGGCATTAAAGGGTAAGCGGGGTCTCCAAGGATCACAATGGGCATTTCGACTTCCCCTACGGGATCTTCTGGTCCGGGAAGGAAATCCCAGCTTGCAGCTTCCTGAACAGGCCAGTGTTCCGAAAGATGCGTGCGTCATGCACCTTTCCAGGCCAGCCTGCATTAATGTTAATGAAACGCCCACGGTGATCCACAAGCACCTGGAGAACCATAGAGAAATACCCCTTCCGATTTATGTATTCGGAGGCTAGATGGTCTGGTGCCAGAATTGGAATATGCATCCCATCTATCGCCCCTCCGCAGTTAGGGAAACCTATTTGTGCAAAGCCAGCCACAATGTCATGCACGTTACCCAGAGTCACGGTTCTTCTGAGCAGGATGTGATTAATGGCCCTGCAAACTTGCATCGACACGAGTCCAACAGTTGACTTACCCACTCCGAACTGGTTAGCAACCTGATTGCCAGCTTCCAGATTTCAATAACCACCTGATTCTCCACTGGCAGGGCAGCTCTCAATCTTGTGTCCTTGTGCCGCAGGGTGGGGGCGAGCTCATCACACAGTCCCATGAAAGTGGCTTTCCTCATCCGAAAGTTCTGCAGCCACTGCTAGTCATCCCAGACTTGCTTGATGATGTGATCCCACCACATTGCTTATTTCCTGAGCCCAAAAGCAGTGTTCCACGGTGGTGAGCATGTCCGTGAATGCCACAAGCAATCTCGCGTCGTCTGCATTATGTGAGTTGACATCATCGTCGGACTCATCGCTGTCACTTTGTAGCATTTCGTGACATGCTGGTGAGACCCATCAGCATATTCCTCAGCCCTTCGGGATCCATTCCCGCAGACCGAAAGGGAAGACAGAGCGCACAGTACAAAAAACGTTGAAACAAATGTGGACGGAAGCACAGGGATTGCTGGGATGCGAAGCGATGCATCACGGTGCATTGGGACAGGACCCAGAATGCCTCACACCTCCTGTCCCCTTCCCACAAGCCACAGCACCAGAATGGGAAGAGGTGCTCTGTGGGATAGCTGCCCATAATGCACCGCTCCCAATGCCGCTGCAAATGTGGCCACCCCACTGCGCTTGCAGCTGACAGTGTGAACACACGGCAGCGCTTTCCGTGCTGCATTGTCCGAGGGCTGGTTTAACTCACAGCGCTCTACATCTGCAAGTGTAGCCATGCCCTTATTCTAGAAAGAGTATCTTTTTCCAGTTTAGCTTATATTGGAATCAGTGTCTACACCGGGAGTTATACCAGTATAAACTATAGAGGTATAATTATACTGGTAAAGTTCCCCTATAGACAAGCAATGAGTGTTTGAGTGGGAAAAATCAATATAACATCTTCCTTTACTAGACCTGTTTTTCCCAAGGCAGGGGAGGACGAACAGGCAGTGCAAAGGTGCAGTGGTGACTACAGATAGATGAGGATGAGTGTCCAGCCAAGTTAGTTGTTTTGCAGCAATGTGCAGAAAAAATGGGGTTAGAGAGATGTAGAATTTATTCTTTCTCATGACAGTGGTGATAAGGTGGATTAGCAAATCATTTGTCCATTGTTAATGAACTGGTCAGATTCAAAATAGACATGGGAGCAGCTGCAACTGTTATGTTAGTCTACATATAAAAGTCTGTTATCAGTCTGAGGTAAACCCTCAAACTCCTGGATTGCTGGCGGGGCGGGGGACAGGGGAAGAAGGGAGAGGGAACGAACTGAAACATATGCCATGGAAATGCTGCTTTTCAGCATAGATTAATGGGAGTTCTGAGCACCCATCAACTTAAAATCAACAGGGGCTGATGGCCACGTGTGAAAATCAGGTCACTTATTTAGGAACCTAACAAGATCTTAAGGTCTCTTGTCATATGTTTAGATGTAAGCTCTGTGGGGCAGGGACTGTCCTCTTCTTGTCTCCCTGATTGGGGCCTCCAGCTGCTACCGTAATACAAATCAAAACCATGCTGTTAAACTCCCATTCTTTAATCTTTGTCTCAGTCCCAGATTTGTAAAGGTGATTAGGTGTTCTTGCCCTCAGCATTGCGACACCAGACTGATTTAGGAGCCATATTGCACTTTTAAAAGGGATTTAGGAGTTTAAATTTCATCATAAATTGTAGGATTTAGACTCCCAAGTGCTTAAATCCCTTCTGACAATGAGATTAGGCTCCAAAGTTTCAACTATGACTGCAGCAGATTTTAAAATCTGGCCCATAGTGTTTAATTGCAATTTTCCTTGCTGAAAAATCTTTGGTATCATCTCTGCATTAATTGAAACCAGTGTGTATGGGGGTGGGGGAGTGGAGCGGGGATTCATTGTTTAAAGTTCCCTGCCATATATTACAAAAACACTAGATAGCAGTGTGAAAAATCATCATTCCTTAATTCATGCCTGGGCAAATCCAATATACGAAAGGCATTAGTTCATCTGGTCCCCCTTCTAACCAACTGCTTTCACGCTTGCTAGCTAAATTGCAAAGAGCAGCTGCCTGTGAGTCAGGGCATACCTCAACATAACCTATATGCAAACTCCCTGGCAGGGTCTTTGTGTGTAGTAATCTTAGTTAGAAACTCACAATGTTAAGCAGAAGTGCAGTTTTTAATTAATTGATTAAAACTTCGATGCATATCCTGGCACTTCTGAAAATCCCAAAAGCCCCAGCACTTCCAAAAATTCCAAAACCACAAGTCCCTGACACTTCAGAAGATCCCCAAAGCCCTGGCACTTCTGAAAATTGCAAAAGCCCCAGCATCTCCAAAAATCTGATATATCTGGCACCTCCAAAAACCAAAAAAAGACCTGGTTCCTCTGAAAAATTGTGAACCCCTCAGCACCTCTGAAAATCCAGAAGCATCGGCACTTCCAAAACTTCCAGTACCTCCAAAAATCCCAAAAGCCCCGGCACCTCTGAAAATCCTCAAACCCCCCAAAATCCCAGCACCTCCAAAAATCCTGAAACCTCAAAAGCCATGGCACCTCTGAAAATCCTCAAACCCCCCAAAATCCCAGCACCTCCAAAAATCCTGAAACCTCAAAAGCCATGGCACCTCTGAAAATCCT